AATCATTTTCAGTGAAGAGACATATTTGTACCCAAAGAGTCCACAGTAGTACCTCAAAGGTGCATTTTAGTGCCCAAATGTACCTAAAAAGTACCTTTGAGGTATGATTATTGACTCTTCAGGGATAAATATGTATCTTTAGAAAAGGTACTCCCCCAGTGACAGCTCCTGTACATTTATTTCTGGGAGTGTAGTGTATAGTTATTATTATTATACATTTAAACATTTATTATTGACATTTAAAGGTTTAAATAGGGTAATTAGGGTAACTAGGCAGGTTAGGGTGATTAGGCAAGTTATTGTATAATGATGGTTTGTTCTGTAGACTATCAAAAAAGAAATTAGCTTAAAGGGGCTGATAATTTTGTCCCTAAAATAGTTTTTAAAAAATTAATAACTGCTTTTATTCTAGCCGAAATAAAACAAATCATACTTTCTCCAGAAGAAAAAATATTATCAGACATACTTTGAAAATGTCCTTGCCCTGTAAAACATAATTTGGGAAATATTTAAAAAAGAAAAACAAATTCAAATGGGGGCAAATAATTCTGACTTCAACCGTATATCTATGTAAGTAAAATGCTATTTTCCAATAAGATCGGCTCATTTGTGATATTCTTTGTTCCAAAGAGGGTGCAGAAATTGCACACTTTCTTTAAGTAAATGAGATTTTTTTTTATCATTATTTAAATCACACGCCCATTGTGTTTTGGCACATTGGGACCACTGCTCTTGCAACACTTCCTGTTTCACACCAACATCTGTGTTCAGCTTCCCTTCCGAACAATGTAGAAAAAGTGCTCGATGTTCACGGAATGGAAATTATCTTTATCCATACGATTATTATTTTGTGCAATCACCAACCCATTCCCATACAGTAAAAAGAATGTTTGATTTTTCATAATTGTTAACAAACACAATGCATTCAAAAAATATATACTAAAAGACTATTGTGATCGCAAACAATTTATATGGGCTGAATTTTAACAAATGAATTAAGTTGAACATTACATTTAATTAGTTTGTTTAAATTCAGCCCATATAAATAGTTTGCAATCACTTGCCTTAAAAAGGTTTTGTACATTTATTGAATCATTTGTTTCAGTGCACTAACCCCCAGGTCATATCTCAGACTATTTTTAATTCTTATTTACCGTATAAAGCCATTTTAAATGCTTTAAATTTTCACGAATTATATCTAAGACTGTTATATAGTAACCAAAGAACTTGTAGTAAAAGGTACATTTGACATAAAGAGCTTTTATTCTGGCCACAGTAGAAAATAACGTCTCTGTATCGAGATTAAATATGAAGAACCCATTTCATTATGCGTGTCTTGAAGGTTTCTTAGATGTTTGATGTTGTCTGATAAAGAGGACATGAGAGATTGAGGAAATCTGCCCCTTCCTCTTTTCTTTCGCATTGTGCAACATTACTAGATTTCACAATAATGGAAGACGGGAGGAGATTTTGGTGTTGTTTATTATCGTTTCCCAGAGTCTTTTACAAATGATAGTCGAAGGATCACTTGATTTTGATGATCCCTTTAACGCATTTTGTTGAATTGAAGTTACATTGAACAGGCCAAATAATTCTGATTAGATTATAAGTAGACTGTTAGGTTTGGGGTTAGGGTAAGTTGACATGTACTTGCAATGTTTCTTATAGTCAGTTAAATGCCTGTTGAAGTAGTAGCATCAGCAGATGTTAAGCAGACAGTCTACTAATACTCAAAGTTGCATTGCAAATACACGACAATTACTTTTTAGTCAATAAAATGTGCAATAGGGACCATCAAATAAAGTCTTGCCCAATGTTTTTATTGGATGTTGACACGACACCACACACAACAAAAATGAATATAATTAGTATTGTCATCATTAATAATGTGGTAAATTGTTAAATATTTTTTGTCTCTCGTCAAAAAAACTGCTGTTTCAAAACTGTCCTGTGGTGGGACTGTCTTAAGAATAGTTTATTAAGTACAATTGTCATTAATTAAACAGGAAAACATTAAATAATAAATAAATACCTGAGGCCTAATTTTACAAGTGGCTATTTTAGTAAATGGCAATCATTCATTCATATATTTTACAAAAACATATGTTTCGTCACCGAAAACATGTCCTCTGGTGTAACACCACTGTATATGCTCATTTTAACCCTAACATTTACTACCCTTTTGTTTAATTTGAGATGAAAACATCAATTAAATGTTATTTTTTTGCATAAATCTGTTAATCAACCTTAGTCCTGATCAATACTACTTTTTTTAGAAAAGTGCGTGTGGATTTTAACCTTTTATATTTGCCAAGTTCACAAATGATGTCACTGATTTAGTGGGAAAAAACCCCAAAATAACTTATTTTTCTATATGAAAAGTAATTGTGTTCTTTTTGTAAAGACTGTATTGTTTAACCCAGGTTCATTCTGAAAATGTACCCCTATATACATTTCTGGAGAGTGCCAAATACGTCCCGGGAGGTACTTTTTTTTGCAGTTTTCCACCAGAGGCCGCTGTGTACAGTTTATGAGATCTCAAATTTGTTGTTCTCATGGAAATCCACTAGTGTCCACTGTCGACTGACTGACCCTCCTCCTTCCCTAAACCCAACCGATGGTGATTTTAATAAAAGAATGGACGACAACAATATGACAAGAAGCCACAAAGTACTTTGAATCCATTTAAAAAGCACAAAAATCAAGATAGAAGTGACACCACAAGTACGCAAAAGCTCCTCGAAGCAATTTGAGAGAAAAGTATGTAGAAAATAAATAATAAGAAAAGAACTGCGTAAATGGAAAAGCAGAAACTGTCATCCTCATTTGTGTTGGCAGGCATATTAAAGCACGCGGCTGAAGCAACACGCCAGACAGTGACAAAAGAAATCACGATGAACATAACAACTGCTTCTCTAGCAGGCGGTCTGCAGAGAACCACAGGCAATTAGCCCTAGCGAGGAGCAGAAATGCGGTTCGGCAGTCGCACAGAAGAGAAGGCCTTTATGTGAGCCGCTGATAAGGGAACGGAGCAGATCTTTAATACCGAGTCTTTTCTGTGCATTCTGAGATTTGGCAGAAGTCTATACCTCTAAGCTTGATTGCATTGGTTTGACCCAATTGTGTGCGGTAATAAGTAACGGAAATAAACTGGACAAGAGCTGAATGAGAACTTTAGAAATCCTATTTAGGCCTGCTATCATATTATTATAAAAACTTTAGACATACCGCATACTGTTACAGTATATTTGTGAATTTCAAAATGCATCTGCCTACTGCTTAATCAAATGAATCAGTCTTTTATGTGAAAGTTAATGAGGAATCAGAAACAAAAATATTTATGTTGCCCATTCAGGGGTACGTTTACCATCGACAGCCAACTAAACATAATTGCAATCTAAACAACAACAACATTGTCGACTAAAAAAGCCTCAAAAGCAGGGGCGTTGCTAGACATAAAAGCTCTACTGGGGCTGATATATCAGGTTTGTAGCCAGCCTATTAAAAGGAGTGATTCTTTTTTTCCAGATATTTACAGATATTCAATTCTTAAATACTGCATTTTAGTGACATTTTAAGCACTATTTTGTGCTGGATCGCTTGTCGGAGGGTCATCATTAATACACTTTTTGAAGCAACAAAAATACTTCCTACATTTTTGTCAAAGTGCTCATCATACTATTTTTGGTTTACAAAGATTTGTTTATTTACAAGTTGTTACATTGTTATATATAATGTAGTGAGATTAGAATTTTAGTAATATAAAAAATACTTATTTTAAATGCTAATTTATTATCATCCATCATAAAAAAAAAAAAAAAAAAAATATATATATATATATATATATATATATATATATATATATATATATATATATATATATATTTTATATATATATACCAGAGGAAACCCACGCGAAGGCAGGGAGAACATGCAAACTCCACACAGAAATGCCAACTGAGCCGAGGTTCAAACCAGCGACTTTCTTGCTGTGAGGCGACAGCACTACCTTCCACTGCCTAGCCTTTCTCTACATTAAAATGTTAATTTGTATTTTGACACTACATAATATCAGCGCATTGTACAATAGACTTTTTTTACAAACATTCAAATGTTGTTTTTCAGAGCACAACAAAAGCAGTGCATTACTGAAGTAGGCTATTTTTCTACATTCACCTTGTTTCTCAATATATACCATCTAGATCAGTGTTTCTCAACTGGTGGGTCGTGACCCAAAAGTGGGTCGCGGGAACATTTTCGGTGGGTCACGGAGTGTGTGGTCAAAAAAACAACAACAGTTAAATTTATTTATTTATTTTTATTTCTTTGCTTATACCGGACTTTTATTTTGAAATCTGTGCGCAACAACCCTACCGTTTGAGATGTGAAATTTCATTTAATTATTGCAACAAATATGTCGAAGCGCAAGTACGACCCCGAATATGTAAAGTATGGATATATACATATATATATTGATGACAAAAAAGCCTCAGTGTCATATGTAGTGAGGTGCTCGCATAAGAGAGCATAAAACCTTCTAAATTAAAACATTTAGAAACCAGAAAACATGTTTTATTAACAGTTTATTATTAACAGTTTTTATCGTTTTTACTTTGTAATATTCTATAATTTGATCCATTTTGTTAAATGACCGCAATAAAATATTGTTTATTTGTAAGTCTTGGTGAATTTCTTACGATGTATCTGTCACTACTTGTTCATGTTAACAAATAAATACAAATTAAGTATAATTCCTGAAACGGTATTATAGTTCCTAAAAATTTGGGTCGCGGCTTGATGACCATGTAAAAATGTGGGTCCTATGGCCAAACCAGTTGTGAACCCCTGATCTAGATAGTTCGATTGAACTGAAAAGTTAGTTTCCTCATTTCTAGGGTTGTAAAGCAGGAGCAGGAACAGACACGTGTGTTGGGGTTTCACAAGAGTTTCCTGCTTCGGTTTGTGCTTGTGGTTCAGGATGGCATAAAGGACATGCCACAGAAACACAGCAGTGACGCTTTCCTCAGAGCAAAGAAATCTTTCTCAGAACTGCAGCTAGACAGGATCTTTATCAACTCTTTTTTTTTTTTTTTCTTTTTTTTTACCAGACCTCGCTGGGCACAAACTACACAAGATGTCGGGATTTTTAATGTAACATCAACAACCTACAGATAGATGCCTTTAAAAGACATTACCGTATGTATCATGTTTATGCTTATATCATTCACATAAACAGCAATTCATTATAGATATATTTAACAATTATACACTTTTAAACTCTACAGTTTATCTTAACTTTATCAAATGAAATAAGTTTATTTAACTCAAAATTGGCTGAGAGTTAATTCTACTCATTTGAAGAGTTTTAAACTCAGTGTTGAAGGTAATGAGTTAATTAAACAACTCATTACTTCAACTTAAATGGAGTAAGTTCACAGTACTCATATAGATTCGTTTTTAACTCAAATGGTTTGTAACAATGGGTTTTCACAATCGATTTGTGTAGGCACGACATGAAGGAATTAAGTTAACTTATGCGTTTTTACAAATGTAAGTGGATTGAACATAAAACAATTAAGTTGTGCCATCAAAAAAAAAACTCAAGAATTGTGTTGATTTGGCTCATTTTAAATAAGTAGTTTGAACAAACATAAACATCATTTAACTTTTGTGTAATTAAATACCAAATGTTGTATTTTAAATACCCTAGAGTGTCAAAGTGTAAAGAATTACCATCACTGTCAATAAATATTTATGATTGTATGAAATATTGACTGTTGTTACACTGAATTCAGTAAAACATAAACCATTCTTGAGATTTTTTGGGGACAACGTTTTAATTTACTCTCAAAAAATAATGTTTGCTGTTTGTTCAAACTACTTATTTAAAATGAGCTGAATCAACACAGTTCTTGGGATTTTTGGGGGGACAGCTTAATTGTTCAGTCAACTTAAAATTGTAAAAACAATTAAGTTCACTTAATGGATTTGTGTGGACCCAGCATTTTTTTTTTACAGTAAATAAATTTAATTCACACTAAATATGATGATTTAAATACATCTATGTTACGTAAATGTACAAAATAGAGTGTATTTATAATTATGAAGATGAAAAGCGTATTAAAGTGTCTGATTTACATTACTGTAACAAAATGCTGGTTTCACACAATCAATTTGTGTGGGCACGACATGACGGAGTTAAATTAATTTATTAGTTTTCACAAATGTAAGTGGATTGAACATAAAACAATTAAGTTGTCCCATTAAAAAAAAAACTCAAGAATTGTGTTGATTCAACTCAATTTAAATAAGTAGTTTAAACAAACATGAACATCATTTAACTTTTGTGTAATTAAATACCAAATGTTATATTTAAAATACCCTAGATCACAGGTTTCAAACTCAGTTCCGAAAGGGCCGCAGCTCTGCACAGTTCAGTTCCAACCCTAATTAAACACACCTGATCAAACTAATTGAGTCCTTCAGGCTTGTTTGAAACCTACAGGTAAGTGTGTTGGAGCAGGGTTGGAACTAAACAGTGCAGGGCTTCGGCCCTCCAGGAACTGAGTTTGACACCCCTGCCCTAGAGTGTCAAAGTGTAAAGATTTAATGTCGCAGTTAATGAATATTCATGATTGTATGATATATATCGACTGTTATTACACTGAATTTGGTAAAACATACACAATTCTTGAGATTTTTGGGGGGAAATGTTTTAATTTACACACACAAAAAATGATGTTTGCTGTTTGTTCAAACTACTTATTTAAAATGAGCTGAATCAACACAATTCTTGGGAGTTTTTGGGGACGACTTAATTGTTATATTCAGTCAACTTAAACTTGTACAACCAGTAAACACCATTTTTGAGTGTTTTTACAAATAACTGTGCAATTACATACCAAATGTTATATTTTAAATAACCTGGAGTGTCAACGTGTATTTAACATCACAGTTATAGAATATTAATGATTTTATGATATATCGACTGTTGTTACTCTAAAATCATGTCAAAAAGTCTAATTAATCAGGACACATTTCAATGACGTTTGCTGTCTTTTTTTTTTTTCAAACTACTTATTAAAAAAAGCTGAAACAACACAATTCTTGAGGTTTTTGGGACAACTTAATTATTTTATGTTCAGTCAATTTAAATGTGTACAACACTAACTAAGTTCTCTGAAATGGTAACACGGTTTTGCTTTTTCTTTCAGTCATCATAACCATGGCATCCGTCTCGCTTGTGCTTCTGCTGTGGATGTATATTTATGTTGTGATAAAAGGTAAATATACATTTTTACAAATCTTATTACACACAAAAAAGTATGTTTGCTGAAACTACTTATATAAAATGAGCTGAAACAACACAATTCTTGAGTTGTATTTTGGGACAACTTACTTGTTTTATGTCTATTTCCACTTCAATTTGTAATAACCGTTGACAGTGTAGGGACAACATGAATTGTGTAAAACCCAGCATTTTTTATAGTGTATATGCTCACAAAAAGTATGTTTGTTGTTTGTTCAAACTAAGATAAAATGAGCCGAATCAAGACAATTCTTGAGTTTTTTAATGGACAACTTAATTCTTTTATCTTCAATCAACTTCAATTTGTGACAAAAAAACAAATAAGTGAAATTCATTCCTTCACTGTTAAACTCAACAGTCAACTTTATCAATTAAATGAGTGTAGAAACTCTAAATGTACTGAAAGTCAATTCTACTCATTTGAAAAGAGTTTTGAACTGTGTTGAAGGTAAAGAGTAAATTAAATACCTCATTACTTCAACATAAATGGAGTAAGTTCATAGTACTTTAACTCAAATGGTTTGTAGCAATCGGTTTCCTCAAACAGTTTTAGTTGCCTGAACTTATTGGCATTTACAGTGTTCTTGTTGTCACAACACAACAAGATTGTGTAAAACATTTTTACAGTGCGTGATTACAAGATCCTTTACTGTCCTTTGTCTGACTTAAAACAAGTTATCTAAAAAGAAACAAAAACAGTTACCTTTTCATTCATTTTCATTTTATTTTCACACATATTTTGGACTATTTCATTTATTACAGCAGTCATGACAGTTAAACTTACTCTTTTTTTTTCTGATGTCGTGCAACAACACACATTTTGAAATAGCTTCATTGGAGGATGTTGTCGGGAACATGCCACGCAATGCTAAGTCACGAGACCTGTGAAGTGGTTTGGTATTATTTGAGCTTAACTAATGTTATTTTAGCTCAATCTTTTTCTCATCGTGTTCACTTATATGATTATTTTGAATGTTTGTAGTTGATAGTAAAATTATTTATGCTTTTTTATTATTCTGCCAAGTAATAACAAATATAATTACAATTGAATCAAAATGTTTATATATATACAAATTCAAGCTTGGTAAACTCTGACCTGCGAAACTGCATCACTTGACTGTGTGAGACCCATCGAGGATCAAAACATGAACTCTCTGGACAGAAATTTAAAACATGGAGCAATCGCTTGCTTTTAAAATGTCTAATAATCTTGTTTAATCCCGCCCCTTTTCGCAGCGCTGCACGACAGAATATCGCATGCTCAAACTCTAGTGTGACCGCAGCTTAAGAGCTTGATTAGCTAGACCAGGTGTGTCTGATTGGGGTTGGAACTAAACTTTGCAGGACACCGGCCCTCCAGGACCGAGTTTGGGCACCCCTGGTCTATACAAATCTGAGTTCTTCCATAAAATGCAAACTAAATGCTAATAAAAGCTAAATATTCATTAATTTTCCATCAACTTAAGTCCTTTTATTCATCAGGGGTCGCCAAAGAACAGTGGCTCAGTGGTAAGCACTGCACCTCACAGCAAGAAGGTTGCTGGTTTAAGTCCCAGCTTGGCCATTTGGCCTCTTTGTATGAAGTTTGCATGTTCTCCTCGTGTTGGTTTGGGTTTCTCTCAGGTGCTCTGGGCCGGCTTCCCCCACAGTAAACACATGCCCTTAATGTGAATTGGATAAACTAAATTGGCCATAGTGTATGTGTGTTAACGAGAGTGTATGGGTGTTTTCCAGTACTGGGTTACAGCTTTGTAAAAAATGTGTCGGAATAGTTGGTGGTTCATTTCGCTGTGGTGACCCTTGATAAATAAGAGACTAAGCCAGAGGAAAATGAATGAATGATAATAAAGGCCAGTAAATCATAAATAGTGTGATTTGTGACTTAAACTGTAGTGTTACCTTGCACATTTACTACCGACAGTGACTGGAGCATCATCGTGTGGGAATGTCTACACGCCTGCGCCTGTGGTTTTGGCTGGATCTCCGGTTTCTGTGTCCTGCTCCATCGAGGAAGACTGCCCCCTGACCAAAGGCAAAGTGTTTTACGTGCAGTGGAGGATCGACGGCCAGGTTGTCCCAAGAAATTACACCAATCAGGAGAGTAACATGACATACAGTGTGCTCATACCTCGCCTTCAAGACACAAGCGCAAGCATACTCTGTCTTGTGTGTGTTCAGGAGGACTGCCAGATTGTGGATGGAGTGGAAGTTAAAAATGGAAGTGAGTATGTGCTTGAATTCATATCAAAGTCTACAGGTTTTACCTGGTTGACTGGCATGGTGTTAGACTAGCAAGGGTTTTAGCCATTTCCAAGCCTGGAAGATGAGTAGCTCAAACCAAGCGGGGTAAAGTTGGTCTTATATTCACACATTCAGACTTTCTCCTTAATAATATAATATAAAAGTAATGTTTGCATATTCTAAATAGAGAAAACATATTAGCAGTCAATGAATATCAAAGTACAGCATTCCTCACAGTCAATTAAATGGTGCTTATGTTGTTTTCAAGTCTTGCTTGTGTAACGGAGGCCAGCTAGTAAGTGCTGTGCAGGTAAACCTCACTCCTCTGACCTCTAAAGGTGCTCTAGCGACAGATGCTAGAGGCCATGGTCTTTAGCCTCCTTGTTAGAGCAACTGACTCCCATGCGGAAGGTTGCCGGTTCGATACCAGCTCGAATTGGGTTGGGTGGTGTAAGACTGGCGGGGTTACAATGGTGCCGTGACCCGGATGGGAGTGAGGTTTAGGGGGGTGAGTGTAACGGAGACCAGCTAGTATGTGCTGTGCAGGTAAACTTCACTCCTCTGACCTCTAAAGGTGCTCTAGCGACAGATGCTAGAGGCCATGGTCTTTAGTGTCCTTGTTAGAGCAACCGACTCCCATGCAGGAGGTCGCCGGTTCGATACCGGCTCGGAGCGGTGGGGTTACATTTGCGTGTGATTTCAGAGCCATTATTCAAAGTACAATATATAGGCACAGTGTCACAGTTCAAAAATGAGGGAATGTTCGAGTATAAAACCATCTTTAGCTCAATTTTAAACCAGCTTGACCAGACATATTAGGATTTTCTTTAATCAAAGGTTAAGCACAATTGGAAAATACAGAAAATGTACCAATAAACTAACCAAATACATGATTCATCACCAAGACAATTGGGTGAAATATTATTCAATTCAGCAAGTTTGTAATTTACTCAGCAGCATTTTTAATAGAGACTTCAACAACTTTACAAGGTGAATGCAACTGTTTTTATAACAATCACAAAATCTCCCCAGTCTGGTGATGAGCAGTGTTGGGTAAAAATTAATACATTACCATTTTTAAGCTACATTAACATGGCATAACTCGTACTTTCAGATTATACATAAGTATCAACATACTTTAAGATTACTTCCCCTAAAAAGTAACTAACACATTTAGTTACTCTTTAAAATTGACTTAAGACTGTAATATATTATGCTTTATGTTTAACACTGGTGAGGAGTAACACTTTTTTTAGCTGGTGGACCAGCCTGGTTTTAGTCATCTCCAACTGGATGTTTTTCCGACTGGAAGATGACCAGCTAAAAGTGAACATGGTCTAAATTAATAGGACTTAAACAAAAGAAATCATATAAACTTATAGGAATCACGTCATTAGAATATTTGTAGTGTTTCTTAAAGAGTTAATATATATATAACATATCAATGTTCTTCCTGAAAATAAAAAATGAAGAGTTGTCCTTAAGAATTTACATTTATGGATGTTCAACTTGGCCAGAGATTTTAGCAGATTAATAATAAATCTAAAGAGAAAATGGTGATTTTTTTTAATTAAGTGTTTTAAGCAGAATTGCAAAATACAGAAAACTCACCACTAAATAGTTTTCAAATACATGATTCATTTCTTCTTCAGACTGAAAGCAACTGGGTGAAATATTATTAAATTGAACAAGTTTGTCATTTACTGAGTAGCATTTTTAATAAAGACTTTAAAACTTTACAAGATGAATGGAACTGATTTCCCAAGAATCACAAAATCTTCTCAATCTGGTAAAAATAATGGAAGGTGGATGCTGCACACTGGTGGTGGATGAGGAGATTCCCACCATTGTGTAAAGTGCTTTGAGTGCCCAGAAAAGCGCTATATAAATGTAAGGAATTATTATTATTATTATTATTTTTATTTGGATCAGCTGTGTTTGAATAGAGTTGGAGCAAAGTTGTGCAGAGCTGCGGCTCTCCAGGAATTGAGTTTGAGACCTATCCATTAAATCTAATATACTGTCTACTCCTATTTTCTGCAGTTCTATAAATAAAATTACCCTTCCTGTAATTTTGATTGTAAAATATTCAGATTTTGTCTTTACAGATCCGCCAGTTCCTCATAACCTGAGCTGTGCTTTGACTTTAGTGAAAATGCCCAGCCTCCGGTGTGACTGGAATCCTGTTCAGGAAATAGCAAATCTTCCTACCAACTATACTCTGCATTTATTTAGGTATGCGTAATTATTTATTTGATCTTTATTTTTTTATAATTTTCGAGTTATTTTATGATTACTCCTTAAAGGAATAAAGTTCACACAAAAAAAAAAAAACTTTTATGAATTGTTTTAATTTCTGTTGAACACAAAATATAATATCAGAAAAAAGCAGCTACTGGCATCCATAAGAGGAACAAGAAATGGATGCCAATTGCTGCTCTTGTGTAAGTCTTTCATTGATTTCGACAGAAGAAAGAAACTTACAAAGGTTTGCAACAAGTGGAGGATGAGTAAATGATGACAGAATTAAACATTTTTGGGTGAAGTATGCCTTTAAAGGGGGTCTATTATGCAAAAATCACCTTTATTCGGGCTTTAAACACAGCTTTATAACAGCAGTGTGTGAATATAAGCAGCTCCTAATGGTGAAAATGATTTAATTCTATTATTTATAATCACACTTGATAAAAACAGTGAGCTGAAACACATTGATTGACATTCTGCTTTGTACGTGTCATCGGAGGGGGAAAGCCCCGCCCACTAGTGACCATCTCTCCCTCATTAGCATTCGACATAAGTATTGTTTTTGAATCTGCCACTATGCTGACACACGGGCATTTGTAGCTCCGCCCTCTTTGAAAAAGTGCACAATCTCATTTGAATTTAAAGCGACAGTCACCAAAACACCACAATTAGGATCAAAACCCAAAAGGGGAAAATTCAAAGAGTTATAACGCATTATTTGAGTTTTATTTTGAGCTGAAACTTCACACACACACACACACACACACACACACACACACACACACACACACACACACACACACACACACACACACACACACACACACACACACACACTCCAGGTGCATCAGAGACTTAATTTACATCTTGTTACTAAAGGCATAATAGGTCTCCTTTAAGGAGGTCTTGCATGACAGTCAAGCACATCTCCCCTTACATATGTCCTTTACCACTGAACATGAAGATGTTTTGAGTTTTTGTTTTGGTTTAAATAGTGAATCTCTAATGATGATGATGGAGATTAGTAGTAGTAGTTTAATTCAATTCGGTTCATATTTAATTCTATACACTGCAAACAAATGCTTTTCTTACTTAGATTTGTTGTCTTGCTTCTAGTCAAAATATCTGCAAATTCTTAAATCAAGAAGCATTTTCTAGACAAGCAGAACATTTTGTCTTGTTT